TCACGTTGATACATATTCCTTTGTTACTAAATACAAAGGATATCCTCGTCTTAGAAATTCTAAGTCTCCGACCTGAACACATCTTTATGATCTGAGTGTATGAACATTTTGCGTCGGAAAGAGCTGTTACATACGATTCCCAAAAGTGATTTATTTTAAGTGGTATCACGCTACCTATGAATTGAAAAACAATATCAAAATACTCTTATGATATTTTCCGTTCCATCGCAACTTTAAATCAGCTGTTGTTGACACGTTTTATGCTGATTTTAATATTCAAAATGTAAGCTCTCAACTCTGTAGTTGTAACGCTATGTCCTCTTTGATCTACACGTTATGTAATACTTAATGTTGTAGTTCGTCCAACAACTGTTTTATACTGTCTGTAGTATGAAACGCTGTCATTTTTCCAGATTAAAGTGAACTGTGCGGTCACTGAAACGTCGAAATGCTTTTTCCAATGTTTTGCTACTTGTTGGTGTTGGGTATAAATTCTTCCACTAATAACAACTAATGCGCACCTGTGAAAAATAAATAAAAATAAATACGATCAACTTAGCTATATGTATACTATAACATGTTAGTTATGTCGTACGATTTATTTCTTGACTAGCTGTATTCCTGTTATCACTGCATACATCTAAACGTCAGTTGTAGTTTTGCAATCTCCCCATATTTATATGTTCATTATTTTGATATTATGGTTTTCAAACATAGAACTATGACTATATACTGTTGTAAGAAAGTAAAATAACGATTTATGTTAACTTGCCTTCATTTACTTTCTAGCTCTGTTTGATATTATGTAATATTGAACATATAGTATAATTACAGGCAGCGTTCGCGGTTATATTTTTGCTAGTGTCGCCAACCAGGAATGATAAAATAAAAAACAAGACGGAAATTCGTGTCAATAATGCCTTTTGAAAACTGTCATACACGACATTAGAACCCGCCTGTTTATTTTGCATTACGTGCAACTTGGAGGTGCATGACCCAATGGTTAGCGTGTTGAAACATGTATATAAGAATACATAATTCGCGTCCCGTTACCTCACAAATATATTTAAACATTCAAATTCCACTTTTCGGTTCTTATTGTTGTTTTCTTAGTACAAAGCTACACAATGGGCTAACTACACTCTGTCCTCTGTAAGTCTGTAAACTCACCACTGACCTACCAGAGGACCCCACTATTCGGTCTGACAAAAGTAACCCAAGTCACTCTAGTTTAAAAGCTCAAAACTTGAGATGACTAGTGCAGATAATGAGTAGTTTGCGAAAATATCCATATCAAACAAGCTATGTCAAATTATTTGTAAAAATGGGTTTAATTAATATGCCTTGTGAATTAAGTAATTTACAGGAAATTTTTAACATTTTGGTTTTATTATTTACTAGCAATATTATATGCAATTTTTACAGAAAGTTTATTAATATCTGAACTTTTCATGCTTAATAATTCGTGCGTTAGGTGGAGCCACATTGAAGGTTTCACAAATCATAATTTCTTCACTTAAGTTTTACTGCATTGTTCGCGATAATTTAATCTATTGATTTAAAAAATATACTGTAACTTCCTCAAGAAGTAAGTAACGTTAGGTTCGATAATATCTTAATTAACCCTTCTGTAACCGAGCTAGAAGGTGGAGTAAAGAGATTTCTTAACCCGTATTTTTGTGAAATCTTACACAATGTCACTAAACTAACAAGAAATGTTCAAAAATATATTCAAAAGTGCTGCTGGAGCTTGCAATTGATATGAATAAAAAATAAAGCATGATTGGGAACAAGGAGCTTGTAAAATGAAGAAAAAATATTTTTAGTGCCTTTTTTCTTCAGCTTTCATGTTCAAAAGACTGTTAGCTATACCCAGATCGTTTGTTTAGCATGAAAAGGCACAGAATCTTAGGTATCATCTAATTCTAGCATACTTGTTTTCTAACATCGAATACTTGTTTAAATGCTTTTCTCTCTGACTTGGAGTCATCAAAATAAGTTGTAGTTATTGTTTTATTAATGAGATGCGGATAAAATCAGTGTAAGTAAATTGTTATTTAGCTTTATGTTGTGAGAAGTGTAGGTGGATCAACTACATCTTGTACTACGGACAGAATCGTTAAACATTAACAAGGCAGTTTGGAACCAAAGGTTTTCACCAAAAAAAAAAAAAGGAGGAAGAAATGCACGTGAAAATTTTCAAAAATCAGTATTTAGTAGTTTGATTGTAATAGTTTAGACAGTTTGTTTGTTTGGGTTTCGAAACCCAGTCTTTAGAGTTAGAAGCCGCTACTAACTGCCGAGTCACTGGGGGCTAATCAGATTTAAATAAGTTTAAACCCCAGAAAAATAAATGAAAAATATCGATTTAACCTTTTCAGGTTCCTCTGAATGATTAAATATTAGATAAATATCATAAGAAGATCGAAACATCACCCATTTTCAAAGTTCTCATAAAGAAACCGAAGGCTTTAAAGTGTTCTTATTATGAACTAACGTCTAACGTATAGGAGATTTTTTGCGTATATGAAAATTTTTTGTTCGTAATATCATATTTCTTATCCTATTCAAAATTTCACCAGAGGTTGAAAAATCGAAACCTAAACTAATCAGTATATACATAGAAGATATGATAATGGTAAAGCATTTGTAAGAGTATGTTTGTTTGTAGTTAAGCACAAAGCTACACAATGGGCTATCTGTGCTCTGCCCACCTCGGGTATCGAAACCCGGTTTCTAGTGTTGTAAGTCTGCAGTTTAGACAGATGACATACAGACAGACAATAAAATACAAATTTTTAAGCCATTTCGTAACAGGCTGTTTAGTCCTTAGCGGCTGAACTGGGTAACGTGGTTACCCTACTGTTTTATCAAGGATTATGAATTACATCGATAACCAATTGCCAATTTAACTTAGCTTTCTCTTATTGAATTTGTATCGATAATTATATAAAATTATTAAAATATATGGTATTTATGTAATTGTCTTATGAGATTCACATAAAAAATCTAGTTTATTATAAATCTATCTTTGAAACAACGATGATATACTTGTTTAACACATGGGAAAGATATAGGGGCCTCTGGAAGCCCCCCCTCCCCCCAGTGGCACAGCGGAATGTCTGCGGACTTATAACGCTAAAATCCGGGTTTCGATACTCGTGGTTGGCAAAGCACAGACAGCTCATCGTGTTGCTTTGTGCTTAAATTCAAACAAACAAACAATAAAGTCTCTGGGAGTGATATAGGGGTCAGATCCGAATGCAAGTCCATTATATCACTCCCTGAAAACTCCTAAGGGCTCAGGCCATGTTTGACTACAATCAGTCAAGCGGTTCGCCATTTATAAAATTCCCAATTTTACTAAAAATATAATTTTAATAAGTTTGTAATATTATTTTCATCGAATCTAGTGCTAATGTGTTAAAAATTCAACATTAATTTCTGCACCTTTCTTTACAGTTTCATGCTAAACAAACGATCTGGGTATAGCTAACAGTCTTTTGAACATTAATTTCTGCACCTTTCTTTACAGTTTCATGCTAAACAAACGATCTGGGTATAGCTAACAGTCTTTTGAACATGAAAGCTGAAGAAAAAAGGCACTAAAAAATATTTTTCGAGAAGATGAAATTCAGTATTTAAAAATCATAAAGTCCAAGTTTTCTCTCAAAATTATCAAAGATGTAAGATTGAGTATTAAATACCTCGTCTATACATATCGAAAGTGAAACAATGGTTGGGTGTAGAAACATTGAGCGGTTCTCAACGGAACTTATAATCTTGCGAAAAATGTTTTTTAAAAAGACACAAAATGTAAGACACAAGAGATGTTTGTTTCACTACTTAGGTGCAAAGCTAAACAAAGGGCTACTTTCGAGTAGTAATCCTTAATTAAGTGTTAACTAATAAACTAGAGGGAAGACCGCTAGTCAACGGCATTCACCGCCAATTCATGGAATACTTTTACCTGACGAATAGTGGAATTTGACCGCCACTCTTATAACACACTTGTGCCATCTATGTGCAGAGCGCGTTTTTGAAAAAACGGGCCACATACTGTACCTTGAAACCCGGCCATGAAAAGTGATAGAAAATTGTTCCCAAGAAATGTTTACTCTTGTAATTCAGCGCCCTCTATACTACAAGATTGGAAATAGGCAGAATATAACAGCTGGACCATTTGGGTTAAAGAAATGTTTACTGAAACTTTTTTCTCATATATATTAATTATACGTACAACAATTAGTGCGCAAGTCAAGAAGATAGGTTATAAGGGTTTAGTTACGTAAAAATGAAAATTAGGAAATAAGTAAAAAAATACAATTTCAACCTCTGAAAAATATATTTCAGTTTTATGTTATTTGAGTAAATGAAACGTGGATACGTTTACCTGCAATAATTTAACTAATTGAAAAACGAAAGTAACAGTATTTACAGGAACAGTCATGTGTAGTTAGTGTTGCAACAAAAACAATCAGCTTAAGCCTACGTGACACAAAAATAATCCAAATATGTGGAGCAAAAGGAAGAAAGGTATCAGACAAGCTAACTAACTCACTTTCCAAATCTTTCAACCATGTCGGCTTGTCTTAATTTGTGTATTTTTTTATCCTTTATCATTAGAACAATGGCAAACTAATTATAAAAGGAGATCTTACCAGCTTTGAACTACCCGGTACGCACATGTCTATTTTGTATATTAATACATTGGCACCGCCATCTACTAGGCCTAATCCAAATTTAGTAACATCCGGTTTCTACCCACAATGTTCCGCATACAATTGTGCTTGACAAAAAGAAAAAAATACATATCATAGATTTAGTCTATCGGCCTAGAAATGAAGAAAAGCATAATATGAATGAAAGTGTGACATGGACAAAAATGGTTTAAATGAAAAGTTTATCTGAACAGGTCTTGACTAGGTATATATATAAAAGCTGCGAAAGTCCTGTACTGTCAACACGTGAAAGTGAATTTCTCTTTGAGCTTGAGAACAATGGCTAAACTTGCTGTAAGTATACAAAGATTTGTTTTGAGTTTCGGAATTTAAACGACTATTTTACAATAATTTTATTGTATTAAGACTAAAGTTTACACCTATTTACCTTTTCAAATATTTGATAAAATGAATTGCGCACAGAACTTGTGATCTTACCTCTTTTTAAAGTTTAATGTAACTAACAGGTAGAACTTTAAAGTGTAGCCTAGAGAAATGCTTAGTAATGGGTTTTTGAATCCAATATTTGAAATGGTGCTCGAGCTAATTATTTCATATATAACGAATTTTGATATATAAAACTATTCATATGCTATATAAACCCAAAGTGTCATTCATTAGCTTACCGCTGAACACTGAGGGTAAGTAAAAGCAGTAGTTTTACTAAAGTTTACATTTATAGAGTTTCTTTAGATAATCATGTGCACGAAGAAATAATTTAACTTACATATTTATTAATTATACTGAATAACGTTGTATATTTACGTATTCGTATTAAGGATCGTTTTTTTTTCACGATAATAATTTTAAAATCAAAAAGGCTTGGAGAGAATGCAAAGCAATTTAATAGCCATTATTGAGTTAGCGATTTCCATGAAGCAGAGCTTTGGACTGAAAAACAACAGCGATTTAATGTTCATATATATTCGCATGAACTCAATTACATATATTACAAAACTTTTACAAACAATACAAAATACTTATGTTTAATTAATTAAGTTTGTTCAACTTATAGCGCATTAGAAAATTCTCTTCTTTTTTTTAAGATTTAAATAGATCAAATGAAATTTGCATTATTTGATATTGTAATTATAATTTGTCATAAATGTTGGGCTGAAAAAAAAAACGATGTCAGTAGCTCTATGTCCCCCGCTGGAATAGCACTAATTCTCCGGATTTACAACGCTAAAATCAGGGATTCGATTCCCCTCAGTGGACACAGCAGATAGCCCCATATGGCTTTGCTATAAAAAAACATACAGTACATCTATATCTTGCACTATAAACTATAACAAGCGAAGCAAAAACTTTTTTTACTATCAATTCTTATACTAAAATATACAGATTAGTATATTTAATCTGAGAGGCCTGGCCTGATGGTTAGAGCATTCGAATTACAATCTGCGGGTTCATTACCGAAAATGCTCGCCCTTTCAGCCTGGGGGCGTTATAACAAAATGGTATATCTCATTGGTAAAAAGTGGCCCAAGAGTTGATGATGGATGGTGTTGACTACCTGCATTTTCTCTAGTCTATCAGTTCTAAATTAGAAACGCTAACGCATATAACTCTCCAGCAGCTTTGCGCGAAATTGAACAAACACAGATTTTTAACCTGAATGGCACTTTATGCGATACATAAGTTAAACGGTTATGTCAACAGCATCCGCGCTTATGCAACTACTTTTAACCTAATAATAAGATTGTCTGTCACAGTTATATCACGGTTTGAACCTTGGAGTCTCCAATCTGTAAGACTTGACATGATAACCATTAAGCCAATCCTGGCCCTGGTGTTACAAATTTGCTCGCACTATATTGTTGTTCCATAAACAAGTCACTTTACCCCAATTTTTTAGTCTATCCATTTATATAATAGGTATCAGTGGGTAAATAGGTTTAACCTACGAAGGACTGACATCTCGTCCATGGGATATTTGTTACCATTATCATCCACTTGATACTGTCTCGGGAAGGGATGGGTTTAATGCATTATAAATATGACTGTATAATAAACATTATTTATACTTTCTGATATGTTTATGTTGATGCTTTGATTTCCTAGCTATTCCTTCTTTGCGTGACTCTTGCTGTTGTCCAGCTATTTGCTGGTGATATAGATGTTATCCACCACCAAACTTACCATGGTCTTGATGGTGTGAGTGCCCGATACTATCGACTCTATCACCCTTATTCTGGACATGGGGGCTATGGCCACCCTGGATATGGATACGGTGGGGGCTACGGCCACCCTGGATATGGATACGGTGGAGGCTACGGCCACCCTGGATATGGATACGGTGGTGGCTACGGTTATCCAGTGTATGATGGTTATGGGCATGGTGGTTATGGATATGGATACCATTAGACTGATGAATACGACTAAATAACGTACGTAACGCGTTCTTATTGTTTTTATTATGCGTTAACATATGTGTTTTCTTTAGTCGATATATAATCTATATTTTGTTTTCTTAACTTATTAATATTTTGTTTTAAAATCGATTTTAAAAACATTTATCAAGTTCTAAGAAACGAATAATTTATTAATGTACAGAAAAGTACACATATATTATTTGTTTTAATAACATTAAACATTACTAAAGAGATATTTTTGTTATTTACGATTTTTCCCTGAAAAAAATTTTCATAATATCTCATATCACAAGTTGACGAAATTGAAAAACATCATTGAAATAAATAAATGGCAAAGTTTTTAGAGCGCCATCTATCACCTAACAAGGACAAATTACTACAAAAGAAGAATATTGACCGTCCAGTTTCAACAAGTGGATGAGAGTGATATTAAACAATATTTACTAAAGAAAATCTTTAAATAAAACATTTGATTTTGTTTGCTAAATGAAAAATATTTATAGAGACAATAGGCTAAACTTCCTGTGTTTTTTTGTTTGTTTCAGTGTTTAACCACAAAGTGGGTTGAAGCTGTTGTTGGAGATAAATATGGACTTAAGAATTTGTGGAAAACCTTTCTAAAACAAACTGTAGAATGATTCCATCAGTGTAATTTATTATTTATTGTGTTGTTCTATTGATATGTATATGATATTTTTCATGCAACTAATAAAATGTCAAAGTCATCGAGCATTAAAGTTGTTATTTAGCCCTATAGGAAAGTAAAAAAAATCAAATTAACTATCCGGTTATTCTTACGATAATTAATTTTTAATTATTTATTCACACTCACACATAGAGGCACACATATATGTATATAGTTACATAAATCATTTAAATGGTCATACAATCTATTATTCCTACGTTTTTCGAACAGTGTTGATTATTACTAGTTTGAGACTTTCAAAAAAACGCTTAAAATTTATATAAAAGCTACTGATAAATGTTTTTTACACAAATATTTTAAAGCTCTTTTCATAGTGCATTTAGTATATATATATTCAAAAACACAGTTTTAAGATATTGGGCCCCCAGTGACACAGCGGTATGTTTGCGGACTTACAACAGTAGAAACCGGGTTTCGATACCCGTGGTGGGCAGAGCGCAGATAACCCATTGTGTAGTTTTGTGCTTGACTTTAAACAATAAGAGGTAGAAAATTCGGTAATTACAATTCTGCGCTAAAGCAATATTTTAATGAGTCTCTTCCTACGGTTAATGAGTCTCTTCCTACGGTTAATGAGTCTCTTCCTACGTTTAATGAGTCGAGCTGTGGATCGAAAGGTTTGCTTGTTGTTAAGCGCAAATATACACGAAACGCTATCCGTGCTATGCCTACCACGGGTATCGAAACCTAGTTTTGAGCGTTATAAACTTTCAGATTCACTTCTAATTACCTCATTTTCTTCACGGGTCGAGTGGTTCAAAGCTCAAGAGGTTAAGCCGCTGAATACCCTCCGCGCTTTCAGCTGTGGGCGTGTTATAAAATTTACAGGAGTGGCGTGGGCTATTGAGACCATAGTCCTAGTTGTTGTTGTTTTTTTCTTTTTTGTTTAGTCTTTCGTCTTTAATCGCAATCATAATAAGACCGGTATAAAAAATTTAGCCCCTTAATCCGCCTCTGGTCTATCCACTGTTGGATTCAAAAATCCCGAAAAACCTTTTGTGGCGGCAGGTATAGCAGTCTTCCCTCTGGTCAGTGGTTCAAAATTAAAGACGGCTTTAACAGTACCGGTCGTTGACCTGACCCTTTATACCAATGTGACAAAATTTCAATTTCTTTCTCCTCAATAAATCTACATGTTTGTTGTACATTGAAAAATATTCTATTACAATGAAGTTTAAAAAAAATCGACAAACAGAAGTAATTGTTTGTTTTGAATTTCGCGCAAAGCTACACGAGG